CCCCTGATGACTTTTTGTTACTACTTTTTAAATAAATTTGTTTCCAGAGCCTTTGCTTTAGTTCATGGACTATATAAATTATGTAGTGAAACCTATGAGAGCCAGAACTCCACAGGAGTGCCTTATTTTTCTGGGTCTCACAAGTTTTCACCTTTGACAGTGTGCGATTTTAGCACTTTACTTTTCTATCCATCATTTTAGTGAAAAATATTTGAGTTTTCCTTCTCTGACAGGTTTCTGCCTAATACAGGTTCCAGCTTTCACAGGTTTTACTGTACTTTAAAATAAAATTTCATTGTGATTCCAAGAGCATAACAGATCTATGAAACAGACGCACATCTACAGAGAAACAAATGTTTACCTCTGTGTTGAAAGTAAAAGCCTGGGGAATGGTTTTTTCATGTCTATGATTTGTTAGCTGTATTTTACTGCTTCTAACCATAGAAATATAAGCACTGTGCAGGGAAAGAATCACATCAAACTATACTGATTTCTCACAGAATTGTTAAAGTAAAAATGTATATAGAATTTTGGTAGCTGAAAAAAAAAGAAAATGGTTATTTTAATGGAAATACCAAACTGGTTTTTGACTGTTCAGTGGTAACTTTTCGTAAATGTTCCAGGGATTACTTGTGAGGCATGAATATAAGTGTATTATATTGTAACTGGGTATAATGTCTGAATAGGTAAGTATATGTTTACATGTAGTGAAGTTTTAAAATATTTTGCTTGCTGAAGTGCATGTGTCAGTCATGTAGATGGGGTCTATTGGCAAGAAGTTTCTGTTACCTCATTAGTTCTCTCTGCTTCCATTTATCCATTTGATCTATTCTACAGGTCCTGGCAAATTACTATTCTCAAAACAACACTCTGCTCACATAGCCTACATGCTCAATGTTTAATTACTTAAAGAGTAAAGTTCAAACACCTTTGATATTCCTACTCCTCCGTGACGTGGCCTCTATTCATTCACCTTTCCCCTTTACCAAACTTTCTCCATTTCAGCCAACCTCAGTCTTATTTTTCTCCAATATGCCACTTACATTCTCACCTGCATATTTTTCACCCACCATTCATGTGATTGGTATTTTTTTCCTTGCCTCACCATTCATTTAAGATCTAACCATGTTTTACAGCCAAACTCATGTCCTAATTTCTCTTCAGAGCCTTCCTAGATGATCTTCTTTTTATTTTCAATTTCTTTGTTATTTTCTGTTTACAACTCATTCAGTTCTCATAAGATTGTATATATACATGTGCATGTATGGATGTATTTCTATTCTATTAATGCATATTTTTTTGTTGTTTTTTGTTTTTGTTTGTTCCTAAGCTCCATTATACACATAGCTGGGACCAGAGACATGTGGCATAATAACAGGTTTAGTCAGTGGTAAAATATTTGTCATTGAAGGACTAAAAATGTTTGTATTTGATCTATCAACAATGTTTTACAGGGTTGCCATTTTATTTTCTTTTAAAGACAGAGTTTTGAAGGCATATTAAAGAGTTTTAATATGATACTGAGAGATACTTTGGCAATTATCAGAGATGATCCTAACAGAAATTACTCTGTTCTACATGTTTTATAAGACTAAAGTTGCCATGTAAGCATCATGATCCTTGCCTTCTTTTCTAGAAATCTTCCTTGGCCTACACCTCAACCTTAATGAAAGTAAGGAAACCAGATACATGCTATTGTACATAGTCTTAATAATTTTGTGGATTAACTGAATATGTGTGGTGCTTTTTGCATTTTAGGGTGATCAATAGTTTTATAATACTCAGGGTGTTTGAATACCCTAGTGTTTTTCATCATTCATGTGGTCTCTATGATGTGAATATTCCTCATTAATGAAATACCTCAAGCTGAGGTATTTTGCACGTGAGATTAATATAACACGAGCTCTTGTAGCATAGTGCCTAAGGCACTTGACTGCTAACCAGAAGGCTGGCGGTTCAAACCCATCAGCCACTCCTTGGAAGGAAGATGAGGCAATCTACTTCCGTAGTGATACTGCCTCGGAAACCGAAGGAGGGGTCGCTATGAGTCAGGTCCAACTTGGTGGCACTAACAACAACAACATGCTGAAACTATTTTTGTTTGGATCATTAGCTACCTTTCTGTACCTAAATTCATTTTATTGTTACCATTCTTCTTTATAACATTTTCTTCTCTGTTGATCATTTCTGTCTTAAGATGCATTCTTCTCTTCACTTTCTATGTTTACTCCTACCTCTTTGACTCTTCCTTTTCACTTGTCTTTCTTGGCTCTTCATCTACTTTTCTCTTGAATATTGGTAATCCTTGGGGTTTTTCCTTGGTTCCTTTCTTTTCCCACTGAGCAAACACTTTGTGTGTGATATCACTCCCATGACTTTAATTACTGTCTAAATATCTTTTTCTCCACTCAACTCTTATCTTCTGAGCCATGGATTCACATATTCATATATTCATTCAGTAGCTATTTATTGAGGACCCTATTGTGTACCTGGTATTGTTCATGGCTGTTGAGATACAAAACTGAACAAGACATTTTATTCTCTTGCAGAAAAGCAGATAGTAAACAGATTGTTGTTGTTATGTGCTGTCGAATCGGACCCGACTCATAGCGACCCCTCCTTAGCTTTCCAAGGCAATATCACTATGGAAGTAGATTGTCCAGCCTTCTATCTGAGGAGTGGCTGGTGGGTTTGAACTGCCAGCCTCTGGTTAGCAGTCAGGTGCCTTAGGCATTACGCTACCAGTGTGCCTATAAACAGATTAATATGAACTTATTACTATGAAGAAATGAGAATGCCAGTGAGTGTAGTGGGTGAGGTGTACGAGAAGGGGAAGGGAGCTATTTGGACAGGGTAATCAGGGCAGTCTTTTCTGGGGTGGTCTTTTTTTCCACCAAAACAGTCTTTATTTTCAGTGTTAAATTGAATATGCACAGGGGTATGATGTGGGTTTAGGTTCATTAAATCCTTATGCAGAATTACATTCTCAATAAAAAGCCAGTTCTGTCCAGGATCCACTGTCTACACACCTGTGTTATATTTATGTCAAATCTTGTGTGTGAAGAAATAATAAACATATAATATGCTCATTTAATTTACTCGTTTTTACAGGACGAATGAAAATGCAAGTCACACAAAACTCAAAAACTGTGTTAAGAGTTTGAATATAAAACTCAGATCCATCTGAAATGACTAAAGAATAGAAATTCTATATTCACCTATGTTAAAATTGGTTGTTGTTGTTGTTATGTGCCGTCGGGTCGGACCCAACTCATAGCGACCCCTCCTTGGGTTTCTGAGGCAGTATCACTATGGAAGTAGATTGGCCAACCTTCCTTCTGAGGAGTGGCTGGTGGGTTTGAACTGCCAGCCTTCTGGTTAGTAGTCAAGTGCCTTAGGCACTATGCTACCAGAGCTCCTTAAAATTGGTAAATGTAACGAAATCTGTTGCCAATAAAACACATTCATTTATTCACTATAAATGATCTAAGAGATAACATGTTGAATCAGTAATATGGGCATCTGAGATAGTTCTTAGCCTTCACTATAGATGTGAATCACCTGTGGAGCTTAAAAAAAATACTTAAACTTTGCTCCCACCCCCAGATATTCATTTAATTGATCTAGGATGGAGCTAGTGTTTTTAGTGTTTTTTCAAAAGCTTCCCAGACTGTGACAATACATAACAAGGGTTGAAAATTACAGGTAAAGAGGAATAGTGTTTCAGGGAGTAGGAAAAACTAGTATTCAAGGTCTCACTCCCTCAACAAATTATAAACTTCATAACAGTTATAATATATGTTTTGTTATTTTTTAAGTCATAATTTTTATACCTGGATTTTACTATAGTGTCTTTCCTCACAGTTTACCAGCTATTTTTGCTAGTTTGTCCCATAGGCATATCAGACTTAATGGATGTCCAAAACAGATCAGCATTTCTCTTACCTCCCATACCCTAGCAAAAATTTGCTAAACCGTGTGCATTTCTTATCTCAGACTTGAGTGCCAAAAATAAAAAATTTGAATATCTTCTTTGATTTCTCCCTCCCACATCTAGTCAGTTTTCAAGTGCTATTTGATCTACCTCCTAAATATTTCTGGGCTCTTCATTTTTTCTGTATCCTATTGCCACTATACTCTCTAATCTTTTTGAGACAAACACTCAATAACCTCCATTCCTAACTCTTCTTTTCTCTAGGTGCCCCCGTTCACCACTATATCTGTTCTCTACAGTGTCCAAAATTCTTAGTAGAGCTCAAATCTAATCATATTATTTACGTACTTAAATCTCTTTACTAGCCCCTCATGCCCTCAGAATCAGGTCCAACTCCTTTTACTTAATCTGGACCTGAATTACTTCTCCATTCTTCCTTCTAGTCACTTCCCACTCTTACATTCTAAGGTTCATCCGTATTGAAATACTTAAAGTTGCTCAATACATTTCATGTTATTTTGCTTCTGGCAAAGAGAGTTTACTCTGTTTAGAATAATACTCCCTATTCCTCCCTATTCCCCAGCACCTATTTATTCTTCCAGTGTAAGCTGTCCAAATCCAAACCCACTGCTGTTGGGATAATTCTCACTCACAGGGACTCTATAGGACAGAGTAGAACTGCCCCATAGGGTTTCCCAGGCTGTAAATCTTTAGGGAAGTAGACTGCCACATCTTTATCCCACAGAGTGGCTGGTGGGTTCAAATCACTGACTTTCGGTTAGGAGCCAAGCTCTTTAATATAAGCTGTCACTTCTGGTCAACGTTCCATGACACATGCAGTATTAGGCTGGTAAATCCACCTGTATTTGGTCCTATCTTAACACTTTGTGACCAAGGTACTATGTTATTTTCACTATTTTATCATCAATGTCTAGCCAAAGCTAAGCAGACACTTAAATATTGACTAGGAACTTTATTCTTTAAGATTAATGAATAATATTTTAAATGAAAAGAAAATTTTGTTAATTATACATACACTTAACATACATTAACTTTTTTATAGGAGAGCTATGCCATTTTTGGGTCAGGACTGGAGATCTCCTGGATGGAGTTGGATTAAAACAGAAGATGGCTGGAAAAGATGTGAATCCTGTAGTCAGGAACTTGAAAGAGAGAATGAGTATAACATCAATCACAACATGTAAGTTACACTTAAGCAGATCCACATCATTTGCCAGCTTAACATTTATGGTTTTATCTGTTTCAAGTCATCACAAAGCTCCACAACTGTAATTTTGCAGAGAATTGTCTACACACAAGGCTGGTGTAAGGAAACAAGTTATTTAGCTAGAGACTGATTTTAGTTGTTGTTGTTGTTAGGTGCCATTGAGTTGGCTCTGACTCATAGCGACCCTATGTACAACAGAATGAAACACTGCCCAGTCCTGCACCAGCCTCACAATCCTTGGTATACCTGAGCCAATCATTGCAGCTACTTGTCAGTCCATCTCGTTGAGGTTCTTCCCCTTTTTCGCTGACCCTCCACTTTACCAAGCATGATATCCTTCTCCTGGGAATGGTGTAATATCCACACAGATGTTTTCTTCTTTTAATTTAAAATTTTTAATCTTCACAGTAATCTATATGATTATTACTAACTCCATTACACCTGCGGACCCTGAGGAAATGAAAATATATTGGTTTGGCAGCATGTAGTAGAAATTCACAATAATAGTGGCTTACACAGACAGAAATAAATATTTCTCTCTCAAAGCTTGAGTTAGCATAGTGATTTTCTCTGTAAAATTATAAGGGAACCCCATAACCTTCTGTCTTGTTACCCAGACATCCCAAGTGTGTAAGCTTCATCTGTATGGTCAGGGTAGTTTATTATCACATCTGCTTTCCAGTTGGCAGGGTAGAAGAAGAGGAAATACCCTTGTTCTTTACTGGAATGTGAAATCTGCTCACACCTTACTGTCTAGAGCACTAACAGCAAGGAAATGTAGTTTTTCTTCTGGATAGCCCTGCATCCAAATAAAAATCAGAGATTGCAGTAACAAGTTGTGGTGACTATTGTGTGATAACTAGTAGTCTTTACCACAAGTGGTATTTTATAATTTGGAGGATTAGGAATGTCTAGAGACCTCTTTCTCTTGAGTGTTATGGGTCTAACAGTTTTATCATATATTTTTATATGAAAGTTGGATATTCTTCAATGCCAGAGGTTTTTCTGACATGAGTTTAGTAGCTTTAGGCCAGATCCTGGTTTTTACAGTATTTGAAGAAGAAATTAATTTTATATTTCAGACTATAGGGATGATAAACCAACTTATATTGTGGCACTTCTCCGTGTTTCTGGTTTTATTTATATATTGATTGCTACAAAATTAATTTAAGAATTATAATTACTTATGCTATTAGTGTGAATAAAATCATTAATCTTACAGTTATAAATTTTTAAGGTTATCGATTATAATTTTCATAGCAAATTATTTAAATATAAAATTGGTTAAATATATCTAGAAATGTTTGGAATCTAGATTTATTTCCAATGTCTACTATTAAATGTGAAATTCCGAAAGTCACCATTTTAAGATGGGTAAATGAGTTTATATAGTATTTATTTTATTATTTTTTAAAATACTTGAATACAATATTATTGCTGCTTCTACCTTATGGAATTTTCATGAGTTTCTGGTTTTTTCCTTCTGTAATATTTACCCCTTGTCCAAAATACATTTTAAATGTCTAAGAATTGATTTATTGCTATATACACATAGAATTTGAAAACACAATTGTGTAATAAACTTCATGTTACCATGTCTCCTTTATGGCATTTCCCTCAGACGCCCACTCACCTACCCCCATTCAAAATTTTTAAACAATCCTTTGTGATACTGAGCATTGCTAATAGAAGCTTTTATGCACATGGTGAAAACAGTCCAAATGTTCTTACTAAGACAAAAGTTTGATTATAACAATTATGGACTATCCCTCACTGGGCAAAGTAAAAGGAGAATGTCAACATTCACTTCTTTACCCCATCCAAATCTAGATTTCCTCTCTTTCCCATTCTTTCTTTGTCTTCCTCCTACTTCTACCCATTCTATGAAGGTAAGTATCTAGACCTGTGGGGAGAGGCTATTGGTGAACCAGAACTGTAGCATATGCCTGACCATTTCTTCTTTCCCTGAAAGAAAAATCAAATTAACATTGAACTAATATTTTGATAAAAAAAAAAAAAAAACTGTATATAAGCTCTGTTTCAATCACTATATAAAATTATCTTCTGCCAAATGTCTTTGAGAAATACAACACTTTTGAATCTTTGATTTAGAGTGTACTTTCTAGAAATTTGAAAACAATTACTATAGTAAAAATTTAGGTGACCAATATACTAAAGATTTTATTTTTGTAAATGGGCATGAAAATAAAAAACCAGAAAACCAAACCCACTGTCATCAAGTCAATTCTGACTCATAGCAACCTTACAGGACAAAGTAGAACTGGCCTATAGGGTTTCCAAGGCCTTTATGGAAACAGACTGCCTCATCTTTCTGGTGGCTCGTGGGTTGGAAATGCCAACCTTTTGGTTAGCAGCCCAGTGCCACCAGAGTTCCCTGGAATGAAAATAGAAGATCTTTAAATATTCCGCTGCTTATTTTTCACCTTCTTTTAGGATTGAAGATTCAAAAGAAATAGTTAAGAAATTATACAATTCAACGTGGTTGATTTAGGAGCAGGTAACCAGTTCATCCTTTGAATCCTGATAAAGCTGTTCTTCCAAGCAAGTACATTGAGGTTAATATCATTGAGGTTAATTATGATGGAGCAAATATTAAACCCTACTTTGAATGCTTAGTTCTTTACTTAGAAAGTATCACTTATATTGGGATTTCAAAGCATTTTACTAGAGAGCACTATTTGGTATACAGAAGATTCATCTTTAACCCCATCTGAGGGAAAGTATTTTTGCAACACTATTCAAGTGGAGTAGAAGGTAGATTAGATGGTATACAGATTGAAGTGGGGAAAGCCAATTCAGCATTCTAGTAAATCAAGTGAGAAATAATAAGTATTTGTGTAAAGCAAATCAGTACAATTGGACAGGTGGGTGAGATAAGTAATAGAATAGGTTACAAATAGATTGGGTATGGAAAAGGATGCTCCAAGAATAACTGAGGTTTTAACTTGGTGAAGATGGTATATTTGGCTTGAAATTCTCTCCATTACAATGTTGCCACTCAGTTCTATGTTTGATAATTTAGAAATTGTATGATTTTTGTAAAACAAAACTATTGAAGAGTAGTCTAAATTCTGTGTATATTCAAGAATAACCAGCTTTTCCAATCAGCTTTAAGTAGCAACTGCAGCTACTGTGGAGGATATATTAAGAATTTACTAGTAATCCTTCTGTGAGGCTGAAATTCAATAAGGAATTTATAGTCAAATATATCATGTTTTGTTGTTGTTGTTGTTGTTATGTGCCGTTGAGTCAGACCTGACTCATAGAGTCCCCTCCTTGGGTTTCTGAGGCAGTATCACTATGGAAGTAGGTTGCCCAACCTTCCTTCCAAGGAGTGGCTGGTGGGTTTGAACCGCCAGCCTTCTGGTTAGCAGTCAGGTGCCTTAGGCACTATACTACCAGATATGTTTAGCTCTTTCTTGATAGTAATGCTTCTAGAGTTTTATTGTTCTCCCTACTTTGCATTTAATTTATTCCATCTTTTTGTCTCACTTTTATTATTTACATCCTCTAAAGTAGTGTATTTCCTATAAAATTCTTAATATTTTAAGGTTTATTTTTATTTTATCCCCAGTGGTCACAGCAATGGAGGCTGTCATAAGTTAGGGACTCCAAGAAAATTATCTTCAAATGTAGTAGTTATTCCAAGATAGCTGAATTCTACAAAGATAATTTTTAAAAATTGTGAGTCCCCTAAGGAGACAAGATAAAAGAAGTTGTATTTTTGGTTCTTTTATGAGAACATGAAAATGATCTCTCATTCTCATGAGGGATAGATAATTAATGGGATCTTTGTGGGCCTTGAAGTAATAACTTGGCTTCCTAGAACTATAATACCTTGGTAAGGTGACCATCCTGTGTCTCTTTATTTAGTTAAATATATAATCCCGATGTCATTTTGTGTTTTTCCTTTAGGACTATTAGAGCATTATAGCTCCCAGTGACCTAGATGGCATTCCTTATATTATTTCTTTAGTGATGGAAAAGAAAAAAAATATAAGTGATTTAGAAAGTTAGTTTCAATGTCAGACTCCGCACTTAAATGTTTCACTCATATTGCTATTATTGCTTTTATAATTAATGATTTAATTTGGATCGAAAACTGCTGTCTCTGATTTTGTTTTAATACTCTTTCTCCTCCGATTTACTTTTGTTAATTATAAAATACATGATCATTGTAAGCCAGTGACAACAAAACAATCATATAATCCTGTAATATGAAAATTGAAAGTTGTTTTTCACCTCAGATCTTATTCTGCATAAGTAACCAATTGCTTAATCACTTTGTCTTCTCCAGATATCAAAGTCTACAAAGAATCACAGTCTTCTCTATAGTCTAAATCCTACCAAGATTCAGAATGATTTCAGTGTCCATTTGCATGACTCACAGCACCTTGTTATCTTGATTGTTTGGCTTCTGCACTTCTAGTGATTTACTTCTCTCAGCCACCTATTCTCATAGTCTGTTCCCCTTCCCAAATTATGAATTTAGGCATCCCATTCTTTAACATAATAATCTTATCTCTTAGGTTTCCTGATTGGTACCTAGTCTGTTGCCCTATTTTCCCCGCTTCTATCAATCATCTCTTTTGATGTTTTTTGATTAATAAATTCCATGATTTATTGTTTTAGTAATATTCTTACTAATACCTTAACCTTCTATTGGAATCTTTTTTTTTTTTTTTTAATACACTCACATGGCAGTTTCCAAACTCCAATAAATTATTAACATTTGAGCAACTAAGAAACATAAGGGAAAAGAAATCACAGCAGAATACACAGTGGGGCTGTTAAAATCTATACATTCATTCACCCATTTGCTTGTTCATAATCTCATTCATTCAGTTGCTCACTTCTTTGCTAACTCTCTTGTTTGCACAGTTACTCATTGCCTTTTTAGTTTTTCACTCATTCATTCAGTAAACCAAAATTAAACATCTGCTATGTGCCAG